ATTCGAACCCAGGGCATACATACACAATGTACCCCTCCCAGCGTAACCACTAAGCCAAGCCAACGTTGGAAGACAATGTCGGCCAGTATCTTTTACCTGCCTGCAATTTGAACCGGGGCGTCCAAGCTCGGCACTTTGTAAGTCACCCGTTCTCGGCATAAGACAACTAAGACAACTACCCGTTCTTGGGACTTTGGATGTTACAAGCCTTGGATTAGTAAATTTTAGCCAGCATTACAAAAAGGCCATCTTTGCTCTATGTGACTTCTGGGATTTGAACCCAGGGCATACATACCTCCCAGCTCAACCACTAAGCCAAGTCAGCACTGCAAGAGGAAGTTGGTCAGTATCTTTTAGCTGACGACCATGTCACTCTAATATAGTAGTAAGTAAAAAACTGTTTAGGATGAACAGCATGACTTGTTAGGGATTTGAACCCAGGGCATACATAGATACAATGTGTACACCTCCCACCTTGACCACTGAGCCAAGTCAATGATCCACCTGGCCTGAAAGCTCGGCACTTTGTAACTTACCCAGTGTAAGACAACTAACCCGGGTCTGCAAGCTCAGTAAGAATTGATTAGTAAATTTTAGCCAGAGTTACAAAAACGAAAGAGTTGCAATCGCTGCAAGTGACTTCTGGGATTCGAACCCAGGCATACATACACTCTGTACACCTCCAGCTTAACCACTAAGCCAAGCCAACGGTGGAAGACGATGTTGGTCAGTATCTTTTAACTGCTGACCATGTCATTCTAATAGCAGCAAGTAAAAAATTTGTTTAGGATTTAAACCAGCATACATAGGTCGGTCAGTATCTTTTACCTGCAGTAAGTAAAAAACTTTTCAAAACGCGAATCTATGACTTGTTCGGGATTTGAACCCAGGGCATACATACATATACTACGTACACCTCCCAGCTTAACTACTAAGCCAAGCCAATGTTGAAGACGATGTTGGTCAGTATCTTTTACCTGCCGACCATGTCACTCTAATAGCAGTTAAAAGGACATAAATTCTGTGCAGTGACTTGTTTGGGGGGTGAACCCGGTGTATAAGACAACCCGGTGCCTGGCCAAGTCCGGCAAAAAAATGTAACTTAGCTGATGACCATGTCGAATACTTGTTCAGGTGCGATTGAACCCGGTCCTATAAACTCAGCACTGACTTGTTTGGCATTTAAACTACAGTTCAAGCTGGGCCCGGACATGAGACCAATTGGAGTACGAAATCAAGAATTCACCGCTTATCCCAGATTTACCAACAATCTTTGGAAGCCAGCATGGTCTAATGGTAGTTGGCTTCTGGGTTCAATCCCTGGCCATGCTTATGTTTATGACTCTTTCAACTCTTTTTTGCAATTTGGCCTTGAGGCCTGTGCCGCCATCATTTATGCTTCTGATATAGGGTTGCATTGAGGGTTGTAATTTAACCTGAAAACATGTGTGTTTCCCCCTTTAAAAACCCTCTCACATTTCAAGGACCCATCTTCACCCCCCTCATCTGTGACATGAATAACTTCACCCCCATGACAATCTGGAGTCTGTTGGGTATCCCTCCACCCAACCCCTACCCCATAGGTTCTGTATATCTCCATTGGTTGTAACCAGCTGATGATTCGTCAGAAAGGAACCCGAGTCTGGTATAATATGTGTAGCGGTGGCCTCATGTTTGCAACCGTAGACTCCACCGGCAGTAGTGTTCGAAAGTCCAGTTATTGGGTGCCCAGGGGCTCTAACCGAGACCGAGACCAGTTAGCCTTTGTCCCAAAACCTAAAATAACCTAACCGGACCGCAACTAACTGGTTGCGGTCGGTTATTTGCAGTTACTAACCGGTTAGGATCAAAAAATAAAGAATCGGTTATAACAAAGCAAATATGCTCATATGTATCTTGATAGATATTATTTCTGCATATTCTAGCTTTAAAACGAGCCCAAGAACGCTAAAATCGGTGAAGAATTGACATATTTATGCAATTATCCTTGAAAGTCTACACATTTGAGTGATATTTTAGAGATTTGACCGTAACTTAGTCAAATTTTAAGTGTTTTCGACGTTCTCAAGTGCGTTTTGAAGGTGTATAATAGGGCTGGTTATAACCGGTTATTTAACAGTTAGTTAACCGCAAAATAACCGGTTATTTCATTTTCGAAATCAACTAACCCTAACCACGGTTAGGTTAGTGTTGTGGTTAGGTCTGGTTATTTTCCGGTTATTTTCCAGTTAACTAACCTAACTTTCAAACACTAACCAGCAGGTTGCCAGACGTGAGCAATCCCCTTTGTACTTCCTTTTTCCCACTAACATGGTGATTAGGGGACGATACTCTTGACCATCATCGATGACGACGGCGAGAGGGTTACCTTACTGTACATCCTTTTTACTCTATCCAAACCCCATTTCACCTATTATGAAAGGGCATGTGGCGTAACATGGGTCTCTTAATACGTCATACCATTACCACCTGCATTGTGTGACTTAAGATCTTGAGACACGAGTAAGTCAAGCAAGGGGGTGGCAGAATGTGGATCCCGAACATTGGCTGGGAGGGGGGGGGGTCTGGCTGAAGGCTGAAAAAAAATAGTGACTTGACCTATTTTTGTAGCCTGAGCATCAGCCAATCGTCTGTTCTGTCTGAGCAAACTTTAGCGTGTCACACTTCATCTTATGCATTGCCTCTTCATCACTCTGGGAGCGAGGGAACCTTTTTTTTCCTCCTCCAAACAAACTTTGTGAGAAAGAAGGAAGTTTGTTCAAGGCTTTCATTGGTGAAAGCGGAAAGCCGCTTTCTACGCCATGGCTAAGCTTTACACAATTTTGCCTGAATGAGCCTTTTTTCTACTTTACAATTTATTATTTTGCATGTAAATACGGTGTTGACAGTTTGTTAAACTCGCCACTTTTCACATATGTTCCTCCATGCAAAGACTTGCATGCAGAGCATCTTCAACTGTTATTTGAAAGTTTGTGAGTTCTCAGTTGATACAGAGGCAGGGGCTGAGGTTGGGCTGAGGTACAAGCCAGGACTGTGGGACAAAAAAACATCCAATAAAACATCAGAAGTCGGAAAACATACCTTATATAGTAGGAGTGGGAGGGGGGGAGGTCAACCAAATCCATGAGAAAAAAATAGGGAGTGTTGGTACATTTTCCACATTCTGCCACCCCCTTGAAGTCAAGACTAAGTAGTGACTATATTGAGTATTTAGTAAAGATCAAACTACTTGTTTTTCAAAGTCCTAGTACCAATGTTTCTGAGTTGCTCATTGTCAACATTGAAGTACATGAAAACTCACATGATCTAAGGATTACCCTTTTAAACTCACTTGTCGATCTATTCTACATATGTGAAACTGTACCAGTTAATCCAGGTAAGTTTCGCTTGATTCTACAATTACTGACAGACTTCATATTCACAGGAATAGTCAAAGAACTCTAACAGTTATATATATATTACAATCATGCCCATTTGGACATCCTGTCGCAATACTGTGACATGTCAGTATACTAATGATACAG